TTCAGAACTTCCTTGCTGAAAAATACTTCATCAATTAGGACCAGGCAAAGAAGCCTTCGTGGATACGGTGCTTGTTTCGATTAAATCCGGTGAGTAATAAGAAAGTTATGATAGTCTAAAGTGAAACACTCAAAACGCTGAGAACTTTCCGGACAACCTAATATATATAACGGGTGCTTATGAACCCGTGTAAACTTCTGCAATTCGACGCGATTCCGGCTCTAAAGCCATAAAAAGACTTTGAATTAACGATTAGGACGCTTAGGCCGTTTTTATTCTCATGTGTGGTGGGAATGCGCGGCTTTCGAGGGAGACCGCAGAAGCAGCACCGTTGCTCTCGAGTTCTGGCCCTCGTCATCATCTTCGATTCGCAGCATGAGCAAAACCTCAAATCTTATCCGGATCAGGAGTATGCGTTTTAATGTATTCGAAAGCGCAATTACAAGCTGGCAAAGTGCTAGGAGCGCTGCGCCGGACGGCGGTCAGTATAAACAGGACTGAGATACCGCAGCAGCGTTCAGCATGTCGGCGCCGCAAGTAGCATTTTAGGCGGAGCATGGAGGAATTAGCCGTCCCTGCGGTCCTGGATCCCCATCCTCGCGCATGTTCGGACGGGGAAACCGCTACGCTTTGGCTGCTGGTGGCGGGGGGTCGTTAGCCCCGGTGATGCTAAGGGTGCGCGAGCGTACGTTGCGTCTTTGAGGGGTATGTGCGCATGGACAATGTTGCGATATGCCGAATAGCCTGCTCGACGCAGGAAAGTTCGGCCCAGTGGTCCTCTCTTATCACGTCATATCTCGCAGAACTCCATGGTCCACCGTTTCTCCGCTTTATGGGGTCGCCGAATTGGTGGCTTGCTTCATCAAAGCACAGTGATGATCCCTGCAAACGATTAGGGCGCTGACGCACCGAGGTTGGGCCAAGCCGGCCTTGTTCCAACAATGATGTCATCCTGAGTCCGCTGCGAAATGGTGAAACATCTGCTCTGGTTGCACTTCAAGCCACGCCATCGTCCTGCAAACTGTCGTTTTTCGGGGAAAGCGACTGTGCAATGTCACAATGTCTTTGGCTTATGCCGTGTCTTAGACTTAACGCCAGAACTACTAGGATAACTTCTACTGGTGCTTGGGAAGATTTTATTCGCCTCTCAAGCGCTTCAGTCAGAGGCACGGTCCGCACTAAGGAGGTTGGCGGCAAAGAAGGAAAACGTGTGACTTGAGCATGAGAGATAAATCTAAAATGAACGCCGAAAACACCTTCAATATTACCCCTTCGGCCTCAAACAATTGCATGGGTGAAAGGCCAGTAATAAAACCGCCTATTGGGACGACTCCAGTTTTCTGACTCCTTGTAGTGAACGCTGTGACCCTTTAAGAGACAATGTAGCATCCATTTCATGGTTCTTGTCTAGTAGCATCGCTCTAGGCTGAAAGGCTGGCTTCGAGGGCGGTGTCTGGAGGCGCAGACCGTGGAAAAGGGAAGTACCACTGGGAAAATTTCGTAGCACAACTCTTACACCTTACAATTTTTGGCCGTAAAACTGGGAAAAGTTGCCCACTACAGACCATGCTACTTTCCCATAACAGTCTTCTGATTTTCACAGGTCATCGCGGACCGTTTCTTTAGGGTCCATGCTTTCCCTGCGTGGCTAAGGCAGGCAGCACTGAGAAGAGATGCGCTCAGCGTTTGCAATGCTCGGTATCCTTCACAACGCTGCTTACGGAACTGAATGCTGCCCACTCTTGCTAGATCTCCGGCTAGGTCATTCGTCTTATTCAGCTGGCTCCCAAGGCGCACAGATTTAGTGGCGTCTTCGTTCGAAGTTTGTTCCGGGATTCCCGTTGCAGTTACTGATAACTGGTTGCGCATGATCTGAGTTTCAGAGACATTCCTATTAGACTGATACAACTGAGTTTAGGAGCGATGAAATAAAAGTCACCAGAGGGGCGTTCAGGACGTGGAGCGCTTTTTGAAAATGGTTTTATGCAGGTTGTAGAGTCGCACCTGACTGTTACACCGAGGTTCATTTTCTATTAAAGGACTGTGGTTATTCTGAAAAAAGGGAAAGCGAGCTGTGGAAATTGATGCTTTTTGCCCTTATGTGCTGTAAATCACTTGCAACAGCAGTTGAGTGGAGAGCCCTTTTGAAGGGACTTTTGAAAGGGCAAGGTGAGAAGTAGTTGCAAACGGGGTCTTGCTCGGCTTAGGTGCTTGAATGTGAGCAATGTTCTTCAACATTCGCAGCTCCTAGTTGACGCGAACGGATTGCCTAGAGGATAATACACAAATATATGTATTTTGTATGCGGGTATATACAGGGGTGGGGGGGGGGCAAAAAAAGACACTTTGGCCGAGTCACATATCAGCAAAGTTTTCGCTCATACAGAAGGCTGGATACGAGTACCAGGGCGGAAGATACCCAAGATGCTCCACGATGAGCAGGAGCAGGTTCTCGCCCATCACTTCATGTACACCAAAATATGAAGTCATCTCCAATCGCAGCCCGACTGGAGAAGGCCCATGGAATTCGCGTTACCTCCAAACAGCTGCGAAACTTTTTTATGGAGCCAGTTGTAGACAGCTACTTGGAAACCAGCACTCTTAATCTGCAAGACCTACAACATCGAGCAGCTCCGACAACGTCGCTACTGTCGAGGATACCATCTTCACCGCAGTCGCCAAGGTGCAAGTTGACGGTATGGACTGGAAATTACTGGAATTATTTTCTTTGCGGATACCGGACTGAAAGTGAGCGCTGACGGTTACATCGGGCAACAATATCTTCCCTTCGTGTCGTCGCCCTTACCATCTTGGAAACGTTGTACTGCTACAGGATTGGGTGCCACCACATGGAACCGAAAGGCGTTGGAAAAACTTCCGCTTACTTGGAACCGTTGAGTACCTGAGGAAGACGGAATATTCATGTGTGTCACCTGACCCGAATCCCTTGATTACCGAGTCCAAGCAGAGCTCAGGTTGGTCTACAGTGGCAGAGAAATTAACGACCTCGCTGAACTCAGGCACTGAATCACGGTCGCGTGGCAGAATCTCTCGATGACGCTGGTCTAAAAGGCTGTGGCGGAGCATCTTGATAGTGTAAAATTGCTATTGAACGCGTTCAATAAAGTGTAACTTATATCGCCTTGAAAGTCGAGGAAGGAAAGCGTCTCTTTTTGCTCGCCCCCCCTGTATATTGGGTAAGTAATGGCGTTTTTTTCTTACATGAATTTTCACAAGAAAGCTGAGCATCGTTACCATTGCGCTCTATGCTTATCAATAGATAATTTGATATTCTACGAAACAGAATGGTTGCCCTCCAAAGTTTCGTGATTTTCGTAGATATTATTTCATTGAAATGCGGTGTCGGGTCGACGCAAGTACGGATTTTTTGCAACTTTTTGCAATTAATCTAGGCTCTCAAGTAGCAGAAGCGGCTCAAAACTTGTGATTTGCATGATCAAGGAATGGCGCTTCTTAAGAGAGGTTGACTTGGTCCAAGCGTTTAAGATCTGGGAACTCGGACCTCGTGAATGTGCATCGCACTGGGTGACCTCCGGGGGAGCGGTTGCCTGCAGAACCCATTTACCAAGTTTCAGAAGTTTCCCATCAACTGAAAGAAATGCTGTGTGTGCCAAATAGCAAAAGGGAAAAATTCGAAGAAGGCAGAATTCATAAAACATTCTGGAAAACCATGACCGTGCTAAAAAGAGGGCGGGGATGTTGGGGCGGGGCTTGCAGCAGTACCTAGTGTGGTCTAGTTTTCAACTGCCTCTTGTGAGGGGTGTGTCCGATTTGATTTGTAAATTGTCCGATTTGGTCTGAAAAGTGTCCGATTCGGTCTGAAAAGTGTCCGGTTTGAGGCGGAAATGGCATATACAGTTTGTAACATTGCAATTTGTCGGGAGGCGCAGCGCGGCATGAGTTCGCGTCCGGCTGCCTTGCTGTAGCAATGGTGATCGAGCAATGATCGATGTAGGAAGGAATCAGCACTGTAAGGCCACTGTAAGGCCGCAGGGAGGGACCACTGATTGCGACCCAACAGGTCGCGATGATATATATTTGATTGGAGTATTTCCATAAACAAAGGCCGGGGCATTGACGTTATTTAATTCGACCTGTCTGCAGTTTTTGAGTTTAGAGTGGGTGACGACAAGCTTCTCCCAAAACTGCGTCATTTGGGTATCAGTGGACCCACTCCTGACTGGATTCGCCGCTATTTAGACGACAGACACATGTGTGTTAGAGTAGTGAATGCGTTTCTGAGCCGTTACTTGTACAATAGTGTGGCTCGGCAGGGGGTGTTTTGCCACCTCTATTAATTCCGGCGTATGCCCAGAGCACACCATTGGTTGGGGATTGTAGTCGAGTCCGTACGACCCCCCACCCCCCTTTTTTTGAGGCGGCCCTCTGTCCCTCTTCATCAATTCGAGCGGGGGGGGGGGTAAATTGTAAATAGCACGTGTGAAACAGGGAAAGCCGCAAGACAATATGAACCTTCCTTCTACCAGTTCTCAGATTCTCCAGAACTTCCTGCCACTTCTTCCAAAATTTCTCGAAAACTTTCCTACGTTTCCCCAAAATTTTGCTGTCGAGCGGGGGGGAGGGTATAGTACCCGCGTGAAACAGGAAAATCACGAAAAGTCAACCACCACTCGAGCAAGTACGACCCCCCCCTTTTTTAAAACGTCTGTGAAATGAGAAAAATCAACTATCAAAGTAAATTTTTTTCAGCCCAAATACGACCCCCTCTCCTGGCTGCCGAAAACGACCCCCTTTTGGGGATGTCCTAACAACGATGTGCGCTGCGTACTATGACTTACCTAGTTGCTTTACTACGCACCCGTCGGTCAGTTCAAATGTGTGCGGACGACATTGAGGTATATGGCATTTATACCGAAGAAACCCACGAGTCTGTTCACCAAGACTTAGCCCAGTCCATATGCAAGATGGTGGAGTGGGCTAGAGTTGGGGGATACCTGTGAATCATGGAAAGACATCGGATGGAGAAGGCTATCAAGACTACGCATGATTTCAATGGCACCGTATTGAAAACCACTGAAGAAGTTTGCAATCTGGGAATCCATATAAACTCGGAGACGGATTTTCGTCGCCACATTAGTACCTCTGTAAAAATGCTTTTGGTGTTCTGCTAACTAATTTCATTAAGCTCACTGCAATGATGCCTCAACTTTCTTAAAACTTCCCGAGGCTTACGTTGTTCCAGTTTTAGAGCACGGGTCACAAGTATAGAGCCCCAATACAAAAAAGCTCCCGGAAAATTAGAGAAGGTTCAGCGAGCCTTCACGAAAAGACTGCTGCATCGCTGCGATCCTAATCCAGCCTGTCGTGTATGTATGCCTGATTACAGAGAGCGGCTGAATAGACTCGGAATCAGGACCTCTCTTTCAGCCCGTTTTCGATGATATAGTATTTTGCTTCAAATTGCTGGAAGGCGAACTGAAACCAAGTAGTGGGCGTTTAGGCCTTGTAGAGGGTGCAACTACAAGCTACCTCTGCAATGCCCTAAACTAGAGAAAAAAACAACGCAGTAAGATTTCTAGCTCTCTTCTTTGGGGCGACGTGGCTTCAGCTGCTCCAGCTGGAGTTCTCGTGCTCGAATATTTCCGTTTTCAAGAGCAAGCTGAGAGAAGCTGATTTGCTATCTATTCTTGGTATTCAAGAATCCTGAGATCTCTACCTGTCTAAGTCCCTTAGTCTTTGAATTCATCATTTCAGTGAGTTACGTTCATCACTCCTTTGGCAATGTTACTCACAACCCGCAGACCACCGTCGAGAGAAAAAAGTTGCCATATTTATTAAATATTCAATGTTATCCTTATGTTCTTGTTCCCGTTTTGTTGCCTCTTGTTTTGTCATTTCTGTGCAATCTTACAGCTTACTTGAACTGAGCGTAGGTAGTGAGGTCTCTGTTCGGTATGACTGTCATTTAACCTCAAGAGCCTATACCTAGGGGCGCTGTTAGTCGTAGAGGTAAATATGTGAGTAAGTTAGCGTTGGCAAGCCCTGAAGCTGAATTGTTAGGGACAGGGAATACCTAGCATCCGAAAATTCAGTTTCCGATCCCATGCCTGGTTGTCGTCTAAGAGTGACGCTTTCCCTAGCGTCATCCGCCACTGAAGTTATTTCATCGAGTTAATGAGGAGTGACCGCGCTTAAAGGACCCCTAAAACTGGTAAAAAATCTGGCTTTCCATAAAGTTTGATTCTCCTGGCGAAGGTCTGACTGAGACTATCTAGCTATTTTAACGATCGTATGTTACCTCAATTCAATGCTAGGTAAGATTATAGTTTTGATTCGATTTTATACAACTCATGTATTATAAAAGCGCACCTGTGCGTGCATCGAATGAATGTTTAAATAAAATAGATTTCCACCTTTTGAATGAACAGTCCATCAGTATAAAGTTTACCAGAGAAAATCCTGTAGAGGACTGGCTGCCTCTCCTGAACATTCAGACCCAATTGAGGGGGAACACAGTGAGGATCAAATGGTACACAAGCCGAGCAATAGGGATATACTTTTTCATTATAACTCGGCACATTCGGCAAAGACCAACCAAGCGGTCATTGACAATATATTCGAGACATCAAGCAGAGTCTCTCCGTGATGTTGCATTGGAACAAGGATCGCTCGATATAGCCCGAAAGATTGCGGTAACTAATGTTTATCCAGAGTTGCGACCACTAATTCCCCAGAGAGCGCGGGGTCACAAATAGAATATCTTCTGAACAACTCCCTTCTTGTTTGCCTTTCATTTCGGAAGAAGTGAGTCGGGCGATCCGTACGAGTCTGCATAGATGCGGCTTGCAAGAATACACTAGGCTGATAGGAATACTCCCAAACAACTTGAAACGTGAAGAGTGAAATGAGCAGGATGAAAGGCTGTCTGAGTTCATCACGTCGACCCATACCATTCACGCGAGCTCACAGTTCCAGGAGCCCTACTTTCTACGCTGGACATGGGAACCTCCTAGTGGGCAGCTCCATAGTGAGAAAGAACATCATGTCCAAGCGGAATTTGCCTGAACAACGTCGCTATTGTTCCTAATTCTATACGTGGAGAGACCACCGTCTCCTTCGTTCCCCTTTTCGATGCGAGGAGAGAGAGAGAGCCGCAGAATTTAGGGAGCAAAGTTCCAGACTATCTTCGGTTGGGAGTTGTCGAAGCCCTGGGCACTCAGTATGTTCCTACTCAGTACATCAGGATCTTTTTGAGCTTTACAGCAACATCAAGGGTAGGATTTCACCATTTTACAAGGAGATCATCATCGACATCATGAAGAGAGAGAGAGAGCTTCGACGGAGAGGCTCCATCCCGTCAAACCCTTCAGTGTCTCTCTCGAGAACTTGCGTCATGCGTAAACTGGGATGGCTCGACATGGGAGTGAAGATCGACGGCCAGCAACTATGTGATCTTCGCTTTGCTGACGACATCGTTTTGATGATGTCATGAAGCATCGAGCAAGTGGAGTGAATGCTGGCTGGTTATAATGGCGCGTGTGGAAAAATCGGCCAGCAGTTGGATCCTACAAAGACGATGTTTATGAAGAAGGGGGTTTCTGATGCCGAGTCATGGAAATTTCCATGATGAAGAAGTACCATGTAGAGCTAGACGAGCTGATCTTAACGGTGTGGGATTCACTGTATTGATCTGCAAATCTAGGTAAAGTACAAGAGCAAAGGACTTGTCGCCCCTTTCCAGCATCGACTAGAATAAGAGGATGAAGGGTGAAAAGACTGACTTTCTCAGAATGGCATTGTTGTTATTACTTTTTGAGTTGTATTATTGTTAGTCAGTCCACTTCCTGTTATATGATACTACATCAGTTGTTCTAGTGAAGTGTTCCTTGCATTCTTGCTTACTAACAATAAGCAAATAAGTGCGCTAGGATCATGTGCCAGCATGAAAATGGAATAAATGCAATTATTATATCGGAGTAGACTAAACACCTGCGTTCAGAGCACGTCGCGGAAGAAACCCGCTCGCCTGTAATTCACAAAAAATTTTCATATAGCACTGAACGGAAAGCACAGTTCCTTGACCATTTCGCCTCCACTCTACTAGACTCCAAAAAATGCTGTTTAAAATTGGAAAAAAGTGAAATTGGGTCTATAATACATGCTCTGAGATCTTGGCTGAGATGCAAACGGTTTGAAAACTGATGATTTGAAAGGTCCGTAAAAGCGATATTCAAAGGATCGCCGCTGTCCACAGAGGTCAAAGAAATATAACTTTGGCTTGTTTTCAAGAAGAAGCTGATGACCTACTCAGCGAAAGTCGACGAGCTATACCGTTGGGCTTGCACAAAGGAACTAATGGTACCCACAGAACTTCTTTTCAACTTTTGTTTGAAGAAGAGTTTAGATTGGTCCATCCCTTTCCCAAACCAGGAATGGTATTGTATAAGTGTAGATTCATGTTCGCACTCTGAGTTACGACTTCGATCCCTGCCGAAGCACAAACCATGCCTTGCAAAAATTGCAAAAATTACGACGTACCAGCGTCAGGCCCAGGTTGACAGGCCGGTTGATGGAGGAAACCGTCGCAACAGTCAGCGCCTCGTCAACACTAGGCCGAGGGAACTTGTTCCTATCTCGCACGGACAGATCAGCTTCATGTCCGAAAGATGCACCACTGACGCCATCTGCATCGCTAGACGAGGTACCGAGAGAAGCGGCGACCCTGCTACCTAGCCTTCCTGACCTTGAGAAGGCATTCGACTGCCTGCCTCAGCCTTTACTCTGAAAAGCGCTTAGAGAACGTAAGGTCCCGGCACCTGGTCTCTGAAGTGGAGGACATATATGATGGCGCTGAGGCATGTGTACGCACTGGACACGGCTTGAGAACGGAAGTAGACATCACTGTTGGGTACACCAAGGATTAGCCCTCAGCCCGTTCTTCTTCCTCCTTACTCTGGATGTCATGGCAAAAGAACTCGTGGAGGGCTACTGTAAATCTACGGCTATCCTCTACGCTGAAGACGCTCTGATAGCGGGTAGCAGAGAAAACTCCAGGACAAGGTGCAGCGGTGGCAGGATGTGCTCGCTGAGAATAGACTCCGGCTGAACGTAAAGAAGATCAAGTTCCTGAGCTCCGAAAAGTGCACCGAACCCATCGTAGACCGCCATGGGAAAAGCATCGAAAGGGTATAGAACTTCCAGTATCTGAGGAGCGATCTGGCAGCTTATGGCACCGTGCCCAGGCGGTGAAGACCCGAATCAACGGAGCCTGGATAAAATGGAGGGAGTCTACTGGCATCGTATGCGACCGGCGGCCTCGAGAACACTCAAGGGCAAGGTGTACTGAGCGGTAAGGCCTACAATGCTCTACGGCAGTGAGTGCTGGCCCATATGCAAGAACCGCGAAAGGCAGCTCCACTCAGCTAAAATGAGGATGTCGAGATGGGCCTGCGGCTAACACAACTCGACAGAGAACAAGGACGTCAGGGCGGTCACACAGACGGCCCCAATCCAGCTGAAGGCACGGGAACAGCGGCTGCGAGATGCTCCACGGGGGGCTAAATGGAAAAGAAGGACGTCATCAAGACGTACCTCACTGAAGTGAAGACCAGTGCATCGGAAAAGTGGCGACGTCTAACAAGAACAGCGGACCCTCCGACGGTGCGGGACTAACGCTAGAGAGAAGAAGGAGAGGAGCGGTGTTGTACAGCAAAAAACCCTGCCTTTTTCTCGCTGGCTCGGCAGCACCTTCTAACTAATACGACTTGGTTTTCGTGACGGTTTATTGTCAGCTGCTTTCATTTTCCAGCGAAGGATAAACTTGAGCTTTCCTAACCCGGAAAGCAATTGTTTGGGAACTAAAACTCAGGGAAGTTTTCGTTTTCTAGCACTACCTGGTGTGGCATCAGGTTTTTCCCAAGAAATGCATCATCTTATTTAGGTCAAAAAGTAGAGGAGCTCCTTACAAGGGAATGTTTTGAACTTCCCAAGGAATTTAAATGGAGACCTAGGTTCATCAATACAGCCTCGAATGCTGATTACGAATATGCAGATTAAAAGTGCTACGGGGACCTCCCAGACGAGATCTGGGTGGTCAAAGCTTGAGTTATGGCTCGTAAGCGCTGCTGATCGTGCCTCGGCAGTGCCACCGTGGCCTCGTGGTAATGGTCTCGCTTTCAAGTCAAACGCATGCGGGTTTGAATGGTTGGCGCGAAATTTTCGCTCCGCTATCTACAAGAGCTTCAACTCTAATTCTCGAAATTCTTCCGAATTTACGGCCCAGCAGGGCAAGTAGATCAAGCACATCAAGTATACGACATACTCGATCTAGTACGGTTTTGGTCATATCTGCCCTCTCTGAATATATTACCCATCCGAAAATTCAAAGTTTTAGCGAGAAATTCGTTCATGAGAGATTTCGCCCCCCTGAACACGAATATCACTTCCTTCGACGAAAAACGCTCGTCTGGCCAAATTGCGATTCAGGGCAAAACTTCGAATTGCCGGATGGGTGATATGTTCAAAGAGGGCAGATATGACCAAGTCCGTACTAGATCGAGTATGTCGTATACTTGATGTACTTGATCTACTTGCCCTGCTGGGGCGTAAATTCGGAAGAATTTCGAAAATTAGAGTTGAAGCTCTTATACGGAGCGAAGCAAAAATTTTCGCGCCAACCGGATGCAAACCCGCGTGCGTTTGACTTGA